CCTCTATCCATCTTCTATCTGCCTTCCCCTCTCTCCCTATTTATTTCAGAACCCCCTTCCCCTCCCCCATTTCTGAAGAAGGGTCTAGGCCCGAAACGTCAGCCTTCCTGCTCCTCTGATGCTACTTGGCCTGCTGTGTTCATCCAGCTCTACACCTTGTTACCTCAGATTCTCCAGCATCGGCAGTTCCTACTATCTCTGAGCTTAAGGCTTCACAGCTTCAAATAACCACTTCTGGGTATTAACTAAACGTTTCTGACAGGAACACACACGGATGATGTCCCTGCCCAGACACCAACTGACACTCTAAAGGGGGCATTGATACACATTGACTGGTATTTACCCATTGCTAGCTGGGATAATCTTCAAGCAGGGAAAACTGATTTGTTTATTCAGGGCATCTGGAGTGAGGAGTATCCACTCAAACTCGCTGCCTAATTAGGAGCCTGGAAGGGGGGTTGTGCCTGCTGAGTGCCGTCCTCTTGCCCTCAGCCCCTTCCCAGCAACTCCACCCCAAGACCACTCTCTAGCTACCACTTACCTCTGCCTTGGTGCATTCTAACCCTAGGATTTACATGGGAGTAATACTGGCAGCAGCCACCAACTCCCTGGTAGTACTGCCGAACAGTAAAGAGTTGATGGCTTCTGGTTGGCCAGCAGCTCTTGGTAGTGGGTTCTTCTGTCCCAGGGGTCCTTGATCCTGGGGAAGGCACACCCAGTTGCCCAGTTCTGTGCCTCATTGGCATTTAATACATCAGGCTTTTCTGAAAAGAGGCAAGGCCTCATCGGCTCAATTGAATACTGCTGGATTGTGCAAATTAGTTGCTGTATCTTCTACATTACAAATCAGAAGTAATTTATTGGCCATAAAAGTGCTTTAGAACACCTCAGATCATGAAAAATGTTGTATGAATGCCAGTTTTCCATTTTATGTGTGACATGTGTTTTTATATTTTGGGATTCAACAGAGCTAAAGAAATTTATAGTACAGCAAAAGGTCCATTGTGTTTGTTCTAGCTTCTTACTTAAGCACTGCAAAACTAATTCCTATATACCTAGAATCATAGAGATGTACAGCATGGAAACAGACCCTTCGGTCCAATTTGTCCATGCCAACCAGATATCCTAAACTGATCAAGACTCATTTGCCAGAATTTGGCCTATTTCCCTCTAAATTCTTCCTATTTGTGTACCCATCCAGATGCCTCTTAAATATTGTTATTGTACCAGTCTCCACCACCTCCTCTGGCAGCTCATTCCATACATGCACCATGCTCTGCGTGAAAATGTTGCCCCTTAGGTCCGTTTTAAATCTTTCCCCTCTCACCTTAAACCTATGCCCTCTAGTTTTCGGCTCCCCTACCCTGGGGAAAAGACATTGGCTATTCACCCTTTTTTTGGCCCTCATGATTTTATAAGCCTCTATAAGGTTACCCCTCAGCCTCTGACACTCAAGGGAAAATAGCCCAGTCTATTCAGCCTCTCCCTCTTCACAACATCTTTCCCACAGCAAGGAGACCAGAATTGAATGCAGTATTCCAAAAGTGGCCTAACCAATGTCCTATACAGTCACAAAATGACTTCCTTCCTACACTCAACACACTGACCAATAAAGGCAGGTGTACCAAATGCCCTCTTCACTATCCCGTCCACCTGGGACTCCACTTCTTAGTACTCTGTATCTTTCCCCACTTCGCTTGAAAGATGTAAATATCTCTGCTTCAGCCAGTTTCTGTGCTAGTCTTCTGTGCATAGTTCCCTCCATGTTACATGGAATGGACTGGGCAGGGAACAAACAAACTGCACATGAGCAGCATTCCTTGTAAGACATGCATTTGGTCAGCTGTGCAACCTTAAAGGGACCACACAGTGCATTAAATGGGACAGCAAAGAGAAATTGGAGAAAAAAAATGCTTGCATGGTAAAATTAGCTTCAGTATGACAAATGTTATTTATATCCCTTCTCGGTGTCTTACTGATAATTTTAAATGTATGAAACTTAAGCTGAATATTTTTGGCCAAGTTTCAATTTCATCCTGTTCCACGGAAAGTTTGTCAGTTTTCCCATCTCATCATCCCAAACTCTCTTCAGTAACTACCTACTGTGCCGCTATGGCGATGATCTCATCCAATGCTAACTAGATCCTACCACTCACTGTACTCAGAAGAACTCGCCACTGCCGGAATATTCCAGAGTATACTGGCATTCCTGGTGCTAGCACCATCTTTAAAATGCCATCGTGCACCTGGTCGATTTCCATCAGTTCGGAGCTGTCCTGGACCCTTCATAACATTTGTCATAGACATGGCAGATAAGGGGAAATTAGCACCTCACTCTATGAACTGGGACATGGAGGGGTGCAGAGGAGAGGCATTCTCTTTCCTGAGGATTGACAGAGGAGGCCTTCACACCAGACTATGCCAGGCTGATTCAATGTACCCTCCTGAGTCAATGTGTTGTCAGCTGACTGGAGAAATGGCCAGCAGTGTAGGAACAAGGTGAATGATCTTCTCTGCTCCACCATCATCTTTCTACTAACTCAGCCTAAAATTGGAGGCTGCCCTTTACTTAACCAGACTGGTCCACCCTGATTTGCAATGGTAGTTGTTGATGTTCCCCAAGGTTTTAATGGACAGAAGCATCCCAAAGTGGATTGGAGATGTGTCATGATGACGCAGAGAGGGTGATAAATGTCCCTTGCCAAGACCTGTGAACAAGAGGTGTACTGCTGCTGGTACCCACTGTCCCAGATGGAGGGCTGGAGGAGCAAGTGGTGAGCTGGAGTCACCAGGTATAACCCTGAATTTCAAACTGAGACTTCTCAGCATCGACTTTCCTCATGATAGTTGCTGGGTTAGTAAGAGGTGTACTAATGAGTCCAGATGTGCTGTTAATAAGGCCGACAACAAGCAATAATCTTCATTAATAGGCATCTTGCCTCTGCCTAGTGAGACGCTTCTTGATGCCCAGAACATGCAACAAGTTGCTACCAACATTGAGAAAGGCATCACTGGATTACTTACACAATTCTCCCAGATATCTCACCACATCGCACCTTGTTCAGGGCACAGTAAGGCTTCACTTCAGTCACAGATTCTGTAACCAAAGGAAATAGTCTTGTTTGCCCTATGAAAACTGTTCATAATTTGAAAAAAAGTACATTAAGATGTCTCTGTTCATTCGGGTCCTGTTTGCATAGTAGAATCATGGATACCTGGTAGAGAAGTTTCACTGTAGAGGAATGCTGAAATGAACATTCAGTCTGTCTAAGCAGAAAACTCCAGGTCCCATCCCAACCTTGGAATCACTTACACATGAGACTTGGTACATTGCATTGGCTGAAAAGACAAAGTGGCATTAACTTGCAGGTAATCATCGTGACCTTTCAGTAGTAGCTTGAGACCTCCTTGGAGCCGTCAGAGGTGACAATCAAAATTAGGCAAACAAACAGGAGGTTTTATTGCCAGGGAATTTGTACACAGGTGTATAGATATCTTGCTTCAATTGTAGAAACTTTATGAGACTGTAACAGGACCATTCAGTGCATTTTGGTCCCATTACCTAAGGGTAGGAATACATATCATATCTTGTGTGCAGCAGAGGTGAAGTGGACTCATTCCCGGGTTGGCAAGACTGTCCAACAAGAAGTGCTTGAGTAGAATATGCCTGTAAAAAAAGTTTAGAGAAATGAAAGATAATCTCGTCGAAACTTATAAAATTCTTAAAATGCTTGACTGGATTGATGCAGAAAAGATGTTATCCCTGGATTTTCAGGTTTTGGAACCAGGGACAGACTCCCAGAATATAGGGCAAGCAATTTAGGACAGAGATGAGGAGGAATATCTTCAGTCAGAAGGCAGAGAAAGTTTGGAAATTTCTACTTAGAGGTCTGTGTGTAGACTTAGTCATTAACTATGATCAAGGTATAAATTAATAGGTTCCTGGATACTGATTATGTCAAGGAATATGGATATAACGTGGAAAATGATGTTGAAGTTGATGAACAGCCATGTTGTAGAATGCAGAGCAAGTTCAAAGGGCTGAATAGCCTACTCTGCTTCTTAATTATTACGTTCCTACTGATGCCAGCTGGTTTGCTTTCACTGAAGTTCTTAAACACTAAGGGCTGTCTCACCCACTCTGTCCCAGTGGAGTTTTTTCTAAGTTTGCCAGCATCTCTCTGGAAGAGACTTTGACTTCTTTCCCAGTCTCCTCAAGGGAGAACGATTCCACTTACAGCTTACCCGGATTTAAATTTTGAGGCCATTGTTTATTTTGTGTGAAGTATTCAGCAATCATCTACTTTTCCGAGACTGAAAGGAAGTATCAAAATTCCAATCAAACTGGACCAACCTTACTTACTGTTGGGAGCAACTGGAGGATGGTCATTGTTATCCATGGGTCTGAACGTGTCTGAAAATGTTAATATTTGATTGACTGCAGCAAGCAGCACCCACTATGAAGATGTCAGGGGGTGCAGGTCAGAGTAAAGAAAGAAGTTGTAGGAGACAATTCTGGGACCAGTGTGCTTCTAACAATCTCTGTATCAATTCTTCTCATACTAATTTAATATGTAAATTGTTGCAGTAATGGAATGAACTCCCTATTGTTTCAAAAAGTCTTTTGCAAATAGTTCAGAAAGATAGATATCCTAATCCATGTGAGTTCACAGACTTGAAGGATCCCACACACAGCAGTCTCTTTGTCAACTTGTCTGGAGAGAAAGAGGGAAACAGTAAGTGACTTATTTTTAGAAGGAAATAAAAATAAAAAAAACACAAAAACAAACAATATCCAGGAAGAATTGAATAAAAGGAAATAATGATTAACTTTTCAGATTCTTGAATTTGCTCCTCCTTACGTTTTGGTCCTGAAAGTGGGTGTGTCTAAAGTCGACAAGCAAAGTGCTTCAGTTGCATTCAGCTTCCCATTCAATTTGTTGTGTGTATCCCTTCATCAGGCTTCTACCTTAACAGCTTGAATTTCACACAGCAATGCCATGACTAATGGTAATACTACCACATACTGAGGTGTGTGCTGTGCCATCAAAATATTATGGAAGATAGAGATATACAGGAATTCAACATTTCAGCAAAGTCTCTACTGATCAGTTCTAGTGCACACTTGCTGTGTGGTCGGCTCTGAAATGTCAGCAGGAAGTGACTGTAAGTATTGCTCTAACCTCAGTTTTGTTTCTGGGTTTCCCTCCTCAGGTACGTGTGACAGAGCTATCTTTATTGAAGACAAAGATACTATATATATCTATGTATGTGTGTATTATTGAGAAATTACATATATAAATGTGAACCTGAAGTTCAATGGAATAAGCTCATTGTTTAGAACATTGGCTCCAGGGATGCATTTCTGTGGTGGGTTCACCTGATAATCTGCTGTAGCACATGGTGTTTTTCCAGCTCTTCTTCTGTAAGATCCCTTATATAAACAAACCCCCATTAATTCAATGATCATAAATATGTTTTAGAATTGTAAATTTGTTTCTTGAAGATAAATAACTGCCAATCTTTAAAATCACAGGGCTTTTTCACTGGGGTGTCTGCAGATCTTTCATACAAGATCTGTTGAAATTCATTCCCTGGGTTTTATGATCAGTGAGATACCAAAGATGTGAGTTTCCACAAGAAATATCCATTAGAACTTCAGTGGAAGAAATGCAAGCATCCTTCACACACAGCATCATAACATTTGTCTACCATTTTCACAGTATATCTACTAAAATTACAGTTGACACACAGCAGAACACCTTCCATTAATTATTAAAAAGGACTCTGCTACTTGTTCAAGTTCTGCTGGTGGGCAAGGTTAAAAACCTCTTATTAGTTCACTAGCTTTAAGTTACAATCTGCTGATGCTTTAGTATTTAGATCAAATATGTTCCTCTTTCTTTGTGGTCGCCTCTTGCTAACCACCATGCTGCAAAAGACTCAGATGTCTCTGCGTATTATGAGTAAAGTGTTCGAAGAAGGATAGTTAACAACAGGCTAATCTGTTTGCTTTAAATGAATTATATTTTGTAATTATAACATAACTGGATATCAACAGATGTGGAGTATAAAGAGACTATCTTGATGAACAGCAGTGTCCCCGTGATTAGTAAACATGCACCTAAGGTTCACAATACAGTTATCTTCAGTGAGATCACTTTACAATTGAAGTGTAAGTGTAAATTAATTCATCCATAAGACATTAAAAATCTTGGCCTGGAGATGGGGGTAGGGCATGGATTTAGCTGTGTCCCCACCAGTTTCAGAATGCTGTACCTCTTCCTGACAAGGCAAATTACACAAGTGGGTGGAGGCAAGCCTCGGCACACCCTGTGATGAAAATTCCCAAAGGACCTGAAAAGGTTCTGTAGCAGCACTCTGCAGAGAGGGAGTATGCACGAGGTGAGTCCCAAAGTGCAAGTCAGCTGCTTTGGTGAGACCATGTCTATGGACTGATGAAAGCCTGGGTGATCCACCATCAGACCCTCGCACAACCTGAGAGGCAATGGAGTTTCTGAATGGTGTGAACTCTGATATGGTCAGTATTTGAGACCACTCTCTGAATTACTGCAGGTCCAACAGAACCCCACAGAATTACAAGGCCTTTATAGCAGTGATTGTTGTCCCATTAGTTCCAATGGCCACATTTGTACTGAGTTATCTTTATGTAAATTTGTCAAGCTAACTGCACAGGCATGGTTGATTACATAATAGCTTCATAAATCGAGAGTTAGTTTAACTCACCTTGTGCTTTCTGTTGCTTGGACATTCAGCTTTTTGCCAGACTTTTTAACTTCAGATTTTTAATTTTGAAATAATATATTTTCACCAGTAAATGTGTTTTTATATAAATCATACAGAGTAACATTTGCATTCATATTGTGCCTTTCACGTCCTTTGGAAGTCTCAAAGAATTACTACCAATGAATGCTTTTTTTGAACTGTCATCATTGTAACAAATTTGAAATTGCATGAGCCATTTTGCAAATGCATAGCACCCACAAATAGCAATCTGATGATGATAAGATCATTTGTTTTTGAGATATTGAATTGATGGATAAATATTGGCCAGGCAACAATACTTCCTTGAAATGATACAATGGGATCTTTTACCCTCAACTAAGAGGATGGAATGAGTTCAGCTTTAACATCTCATTCATAAGAAGTGCTTTTAACACTGCAGTACTCCCTCACTACTGCACTGATGTATCAACTTTGATTTTTATGCTCAAATCTGTGACTTGAAGTCAAGAACTTTCCCAGCTGAGTCAAAACTGATACAGCCTCCACAAATTAATAGTTTGAGGTTTTGAAGCAGAGATTGTGCTCTCCCAGGGATTTGGGCAGCAGTCTATATCTTTTGCAGCAGTGACAGAGATTGAAGGTTATTTAAATAGTTTGCAACTTTTTTTTATACTTTATGTCGGCTAACATGTTGCCTGAAATGTTAACCAGAGATCACCCATGTGAATGCTCATTATTTGAATAATTATAATTACCAAAATGAATCTGGAACTTCCATTTAATTTCACTTGACAATTTCCAGATTTAAAGTGACAATTATCTAAATGATTTAGAAATGTGTTCTTATCCAAAACACTTACCAGTTGCTGTATGGCAGAATACCTCTTGGGAAAATTTTAATATTCCAGAAAAAAACTTGGGATGTCATACCTTTGCAACCCATTCATTTTGTTCTCTTCTCTCACAGTGCAGTAGTTTCTCATTCAGAATTCTATCGCTTGACAAGTATTTGCTGTTTTGATTTCATTTTGTCAACATATATCTTTGTTTCAAATGTACTCTAGTCGGAGCATTTGCAAAATGCTAGTGACTATTCCCTTTAAATCCTCTCTGATTGGATAGGTCTTCAACCAATGCCAGCTCTCTAGACAGAAGAGTGAGCAGAGGTAATACAGTGACATTGGGTTATATAATGGTTAGATGCTGCAAGGGAAGGTGATGGCCTAGGGGTATTAGGGCTGGACTGTTAATCCAGAGACCCAGGTAACATTCTGGGGGCCTGAGTTCAAATCCCGTCATTGCAAATGGTGGAATTTGAGTTCAATAAGTATCTGGAATTAAGAATCTAATGATGACCATGAATCCATTGTCGATTGTTGGAAAAACCCATCTGGTTCACTAATATCCTTTAGGGAAGAAAACTGCCATCCTTGTCTGGTCTGGCCTACATGTGACTCCAGAGCCGCAGCAATGTTGTTGACTCTTAACTGCCCTCTGGGCAATTAGAGATGGGCAATAAATGCTGCCTAGCCAACGACACTCTCATCCTGTGAATGAATAAAGGAAAAAAAATCTGGCTTGAGGATTACAATGTGTAATTAATTCAAAACCATTGAGTTTGATCGCAGGTAGCAAATGCTAACATCAGATTGCCTGCTAATTATAATGATTTCTGTGTGCAGTCAGTGCTTCCCATTCTGTTCATTAGCTACACATATCATCAGTGGGCCCAACATCATTAATAACTTACACTGCTTAAAGCTAATGTGAACAATTTAAAGGGGACATGCATTGTGCCTACAATAGATTCTTTGAGTGTTCTGCAACTGAAAAGCATCTAGGAAAGAAAGTTCAATGACTAACTATGGGAGAGAATGAACTCACAGGCTTTCCAACACTCTACTGGTGCACTGGCTCTAAGTGGAAATGAGGAGAAAATGCTGGTGTTGGCAGGAAGCCCCAGTAAACATCTGATGAGAAGTCAGTGGGAAAAGATAGGTGCAGAAATCAATGAAAACAATATAGCTCTAGACCTGGATGCAGCAGTGGAAGAAGTTTAATGATCTCACACAAGTGGTCAAAGTCAATTCCCACTAACCTTCATATTCCATTCTGCACAGTGATCCTTGTCAACCCCATCAGCTTTGAGCTTCTTCAGAATCCCAGCCAACTTCCTGAGTCCCGGGCATACTGTATACCATGTCCAGAGTTGCTATGCCCTTTCCACTACCACCTTTATCCACTTCCACAGGCCCCGGCCCCCCACATTGAGGCCAGGGGAGTGGTGACATCTGAAGACCCTCCCATCAACACCTCACAGTCCCCTGTTCCTTTCCAAGTTCTATTAGCTCCCAACCTTTATCTGTTCCCCTTCATAATCTATGTCCTTTCTGTGTCACAGTGTACTAGCTCTAATTCCTGTACTTGAATTTCTCACTTTCTCCAACACAGTATTGCCCTCTGATAACCTTCCCTGATGTTTAAAGCTCAAATGACTGGGGCCAGGCTACCCAGACTGACATAGGAGGACAGCGCTGACTGAGGACAGCTGAGCCTACTTATTGACTTCTCTATTGCTTCCCAACTGACTTAGCTGTAATCCCAGAATGTTTGCATTTGACTTGTGGTACCAACTGTATGCCGTTCCCTGGACTGGAGTGACATAGATTCCTGGAATCTGATCATACTGACTGATCTTGGCCAACTTTCTACATTGAGATCGGACCATGCCCTTGACTGATTGTGGTATCCCCTGACTGACCAAAGTATCCTTTGATTAGACTAAGTCTACTCCCCTTAAACTTTCAGACATGGCCGTTTGTTTGAAGCACGTGCAGTGGGTCGTCACGTTGATATAACAGTACACCAAACAACAGCATGTCTTTCCTTTTGACTGATTACTGCTGACAACCATGAGAAGCTGCCTGGCCTTCTAGTGCTAAAGTGCAAGTCAAGGTCTACTGTGAGCCTGTGAATCTGACAAAAGGCAAGGCTGGGGTGCTGTGAGCATCCAAGTAAATTGTAGTAAGTAAGCTGCCTTAATGTACGAGATGGGTGTATCTCCTTGTTTGTAAAGCATTTGATTGTAATGTGAGGTGTCAGTGATTGCCAAAGGACAATATTGAAGTGTTCAATTGTATGATAAGTTAGTCTGAAATGTGCCAAATGACATGGAGAGGCTGGTTCTTTGTCAATGCCGACTTCCGTGGATGGAGTACACAGGTGGTTGCTTTCCATAGCGTGCCTCCTGAGATGCTGGGGAATGCTGGACAACATGGAGACCCAGAGAAGCTGCTGGAAATTTGCAGTCACCAGGAAAGTGTTCTGACTTTCAAGTTGGAAATTGGCGCTGTCCTGTTTCTCATGAATACCCTGGAGGATAGCAACCTGTGTGGAAATGAGGCCAGATTAGCTAACAA